TATGATCGATAATGTAAAAACGCAAAATTGCGCGTAGATGACGTCACGCATAACTGCGCACGTGAAGCGGATCACCAAAAAGATGATCCTGACAATAACAAGAGATGATGAAGTTGAACCTGACAATAGTAAGATGTGATCCGCTCGTGAAGCGAGTCACCAATTTACATGTAATGAGGTGTTGGAAATCAGGAATGATTGATGATAATAACGTTGGTGGTCGTGATAGTGGATATAATGATGATGGTATTGTTGGTGGTGGTAAAGATGATGATAATTATGATGATTACGGAAAGAGTATCCACTACTCAACATTAGTTGTAAGGAACATTTGCAACAAGTTTTTTACCAAAGTGAATTTGAAAAACATAGGATCATCATCATCATCATCATCATCATCATCATAATAATAATAATAATAATAATAATAATAATAATAATAATAATAATAATAATAATAATAATAATAATGGATGATTTCCACAAAAAACAATATTCATATTTATATTGTATGCACTATAACGATATTGCATAATAGGAGGGAGAGTTGTGAGCGTAATGGGCTTAGAATGTACTATCCTGGGCCTGTAGGCAAAACTCTTTATATAGGCCTAAGCTTTGAATAATGTGAATAAAAAAATAAAATCTACAAAATTTACAAAACATGTAAGTATAGAATTTACAAAACATGTATGACAAGTACACAAACATTAATTTGTAAGCGTTCTTATACCTCAACCACGAATGAACATAACACTATTATAATGATTATTCTGGTATGACCCTTCCAATCTTATCATTAATATTTACGCCATTAATATAAAGAAACCTACCAATGACAGTTATATTGAAGAGACATTCTGCTTCGTTTGCTCTATAATCTTGTACCCAGTATCGCACAGTGTAAACAGTTGGTTTTCCGTCGACGAGTCTAAACCTATCTCCTGGCGAATATGATTGCGTTTCTGTGTGAATCCCTACATTATCTGATGCAATTGGTTCCGTCCATCTGACTTCCGCATAATCTTTTCCCTGTTTTGTACCAACAGTTATGTCTTCTGGACATCCGTCAAGTTTTGGATCTTCGTAATCTAAATCTAATTGAAAAAATATACTAATATTATAAATATCCTTTTGATATTCTTCCGACATGCCGTAGTACGTTCGAATAGCAAGGTTAAGGTCAAACCAGCTCCACCAATCAATACCTCGGATTTACATAGGGTTGTCGGAACAAAATCTACAGCGTTATAAATATTTCATTTTACTAATACTTTGTTAATGTTCAGTGCGTGGTGTACCATAATATTTGTTAGGGTAGGCTCATTTTTTTTACAATAACCTTAATCATTAATATTGTATTCAATTAATAGATTTCCGTTATTGAAAACTCAAAAAGGGTGAACTCCATTATTTGTTACTTTCAAGGTATAAAATAATAAGCAATAACAAATTACTGATAGTCCATACAAACTATGCGATAAAAATGACGTTGTGCAGCATGTTTTTATTTTATTTTATTAAAAAAAAATTAAATTAAAACAGAAAAATTCATAATATCTCAACGTGATATAAGTAAACACATATCGCATTAGCGTACAATGATGAAAAGTAATATATTATTTTATATAAAAATGAAAAAGGGAGGAAAAAAATTTAAGGTATATACTGGTCAAATAAAATCTATATTAATAAGGGTTACAATTGGTTAATGCCTAAACTTTAAAATCATGTTAATATCATAGAATTGTGCTTAAATTTGTTTGTTACTTTTCATTTAACATTCATTGATCGACTTAATTTGCATATTTTATTGTTTATATAAAAATCAAGAAAAGTTTAAAAAATAAGAAAATCAAGAAAAAAGGTGAAGTATCAAAAATGCTGTAATGCAGAATGTCTGTAGTTCAAGCAACTTGATGTAGGCCTATTGATGAATATAAGTGGTGGTTGTTATACCACAAAAGAGAAAAAAAAAAACTGCTGCCTGTAACATTTACTTTGGTCGTCGACCACTTCCAGACATCAGCCTCCACATCTCTAAAGAAAATCTTCTTGTTGTAAATTCTGTTACGTTATTGGGGGTGGTCTTTGATAACGACCTCAAGTGGTCAAGTAATACTGATGCTATCATTACCAAAGGAAATTGTAAACTTTTTATTTTGTGGTCGTTGAGGAGAGCTGGTTTCAATTGTGATGAACTCCTGACGATCTACAGAGTTATGTACGGCCTGTTCTTGAGTATGCTGCGCCTCTGTGGCACCCAGGCTTAACTAAACAACAAAGCATGGCGATTGAGCGTATCCAAACGCGAGTTCGTCGGTGCATTTTAGCCGATAAGTTTATAGTGATGCCCTTTCGCAGCTAGGACTGGAGAGACTGTCTGACAGTAGGGTCTCACTATGTACAAAATTTGCTAAAAAAGCAATACAATCTAATAGATTTCATAATTGGTTTCCAATTAATGATGCATGTCACACCATGACACTACGCACTAATAAGCCATATAAAGAATATAAAAGTACCAAAACACGATTTATAAATAGCCAATTACCGTATATGACTAAAATTCTAAATTCACTTTGTAGTGGGACCCTAAGGTCAGAGATCTCTTCAGTCTGAGCATTTGGCACAGAGGCGCCTTGTCGTGCATGACTCCTGTAGATTGATTGATTGCGGGGTTTTTTTTTATGATGAAATTGTATATATATTTTTAGAGACTCAATTGTTTAATTTCTCTTGATTTTTTAATATGTAATACGTCTTTGTAATTTTTAAGGTTTTAATGTAAATTTTAATGTTTAATATTGCTCTATTTTAATAATGATTCGAAAATTTTTAATGGCCAATATTTTAAATAATTTTCAGTCTCTCAATTCAGCTTATGCTGCAATAGACTGTTTTGTATGTGCGATTCTTTTTTGCAATAAATATACCTAAATATATATAAACTGATCTTGTACAAATTTACTCAATTCGAGCAGTATTAGAGTACGGTGTTCCAGTCTGGCACGGTGGTATAAACAAATTCCAGTCTAACCAGTTAGAGCAGGTACAAAAGCGTGCTCTGCGAATTATCTTATGGTATGATTAGACAAATGTATATGGCCAATATTTGTAATAATTGTTCAGTCTCTCAATTCAGCTTATGCTGCAATAGACTGTTTTGTATGTGCGATTCTTTTTTGCAATAAATATACCTAAATATATATAAACTGATCTTGTACAAATTTACTCAATTCGAGCAGTATTAGAGTACGGTGTTCCAGTCTGGCACGGTGGTATAAACAAATTCAAGTCTAACCAGTTAGAGCAGGTACAAAAGCGTGCTCTGCGAATTATCTTAGGGTATGATTAGACAACTGATGTTGAAGGGTTGTCAATTGCTCTAACTCCGCTTGGTTTAAACTTGATGATAAGCAACATGACATGCCGTGGTTCTTATAATTTTTCTTTTCTCATACGTTTTAATTCATCCCCCCCCCCATTTTAGCGTTTTTCGTTTTACTTGTTTGTAGTTACGTTTTATTGTAGTTTAATATTACCTTCGTATCTGATAATTTTAATAAAAATTTTATTTCGTTTAAATTGAATTGTATTGTATTTTATTGTATCGAATTTACAATTGTAAATTTGATGATGTAATAGTATTTAGTAGTATTTGGTATTTAGATACGCTATTCATAGAAAACTATATCATAGCGTTTACAGAGTTGAATAATGATTTGAAGCAATAAGCTCAAGTTAATTTTGAAAAAAGATGTTTTTTCAGTAGTTTTTTAAAAAATTCAACATTATTTGTTGTTTTAATAACTGTAGGGAGTTTATTCCATTCTATGGCCGCAGTTACACTAAAGGAACGATCACCTGATCTGCTATGAACTAAGGGGCATGAAAGGCGAAAAGGGTCTGATTCATAGCGAAGATTTGGTCGTAACGTATGATGAACTTTTAAACAACTACTGAAGTATATTGGTGCTTGATCATTGAAAAATTTAAACGCAAATAAAAGAATTTTAAATAAAATGCGTTCTTTGATGGGTAGCCAGTGAAGAGAATTAATCAGTTGTCTGGCATCACTACGCCTGTCTTCACGATATATGAGACGTGCAAACCAATTCTGAAGACTTTGTAGTTTCCTAATGTGTGCCTGGGTAACTCCTGTAAGGAGACCATTACAATAATCTAGTCTAGAGAGTACATGACGTCTCACTGCATGGTTACATGCGTCTTTAGTAATGTACTTTCTAATCCGTTATACATTTTTCAATTGAAATCGTGCAGATTTACAAATATTTTCAATTTGATTTGACATTGACATATTACAATCAAGATAAACACCAAGATTTTTTTATAGATGTGTACGGTGATATTTCAGTTGACCCAATATTAAGAACGATACTGCCCAACTTCTGTAGATTATTTGGTGAACCAATGGCTAAAAATTCCGTTTTATCTTCATTAAGTTTAAGTTTATTTTTTAACATCCAAGCTTTTATGTCTCCAATGCACGAAGACAATGTTTGCAGTACCATATTCAGATCATCTGCTTTCCTATGATGAAATGATAAATAAAGCTGTGTATCATCAGCAAATGCATGATACGAGACACCATAGAATCTGGCAATATCTGCAACTGGCAAAGTGTAAATAGTGTAACCTATAGGCCCAAATACCGATCCCTGTGGTAACCCTACTGTATTATCTCTATCTCTGATTGTGTGCCATTTATTTCTACACAAGTTTTCCAAGTTTCAAGGTATGAACGAAACCACTTTAATGCTACATCTCGAACTCCTAACCTCGTGGACAATCGTTTCATCAAGATTTCCCTATCTATCGTATCAAATGCTGATGATAAATTTAATGATAACAATAGAACAATATGACCATTGTCTAATAAAAGCATAATATCATTCTTCACCTTAATTAAAGCACTTTCAGTGCTGATATGGTCGATAGGCGGATTGATGAACATCCCATAACTTATTTTCGGTCATATGATTTGTGAGTTGACTACAAACAACTTTTTCAATCAGTTTTCCTAGAAAACTAAGATTAGAAACAGGCCTGTAATTACTAAGACAATTTTTATCAAGATTGTATTTCTTCAACAACGGTCTAATAACTGCAGTTCTTGCTGCAGATGGGAACAAACCTGTAGCCAATGAAGCATTAACAATGTCTGTAACAAGAGGAAGCATTGTATTAATATTTTGTTTGAGAAACCAGGTAGGAACAGGGTCTAAACAACATGACTTACTAGGTGAAGCAAGTATAATTTTTAACAATTCATCTTCACTTATTAAGTCAAAACTGGACAGTGATTTAGAACATTGTAAATCTCTATCACATGGATCATAAACTGCATTGAAGTGGTCATTACATAAATCTCTCCGAATTCTATGTATTTTATCAAAAAAATAAGTGGAGAAATTGTTACACAATGTTATCAATGAATTATATACAGGAAGAGATGGTTGTTTTCTGTGTAACAAAGTATCTAACACCCTATAAA